ATAAGAGTATATGGAGGGCTTTTTCTCTGGGCAGTGACATAATACTGATGGGTAGCTAAGAGAAAGCACACCTCATTGACTTTTATTTTGCTTCCAATTGACAATGTCAGGGAGAGTGATTTTCAGACTGAAGCAAGGGTGTAGAGTAGAACAAATATAACTGAAGACAGTTCACAGTGGGTGAAGAAATTGTAAGAGAGCATCTATCTGCTCTGCCTGAACTGTACCCCAGGAAATGGAGAGAGCTTTTTTTTAAAAATTTTATTCTCTATTGAAGTGTAGTTGATTCACAATGTTAGTTTCAGGTGTACAGAAAAGCAATTCAGTTATACATATACATATATATATATTATTATTCAGATTCTTTTCCATTATGAAACTGAAAGAACTTTTATTATCTCTGAATCTTTGATGTTGACCTTGGAGAAAGCTTGGAGAATGTAAACTTAAAAAAAGGTGGGTATGTGTGTGTGAGCAAGTGGAATTTGAAATTTCAAAAGTGTAGATTTCACAAACAGCAAATCAATGATCTTAATGTCATTTTGGGGCAAGATCCTAGGCTAGCCTCCCAAAGGAATGACTTGTAGGCTCCTAGAAGAGGAGTTGAAGATCATAAGAGCTCTGCGTGGGTCGTGTGAAAAACTGGCTGACCATGTTTTCTTCTTTATCGGTTGACATGACTGTTAGATCAAGGAGCACTGTTGGATACAAGAAATGCTAACAATCAGGAGATATCAAAGACCTAGTAGGAGCAAACACAATGAGGATATGAACAAAGAATATTTAACCTGGTGGAAAGAAGCCTTAGAGAACATAATGGCAGACGTCAAGTATGAGAACCATTATATGGAAGAAGGATCAAGTATCTGAGGGCTTCTTGAAGGCCAGTAGGTGGGATTACAGGGTCCTAGGATAGGGCTCAGTACAAAGAAGACCTATCTAACCACTTACACCATCCAATAGTGGAACAGGGTGCTTTCCAAGAGAGTGATTTCCCCATCACTGCAAATGTGCTAGCTGAAGTCAGTCACTTTTTGGGAAATGTTCGAGAAGAGATTCATGCACTATTGTGTGGCTCATTCTAAAATCCCTTCCAATTTTGAGCTTCTGTGATCCTAGGAGAGTGTGGGTGTGAATGGGAAGGATTAGTTTGGAAATACAGACAGTGATGCTATAGCTAATGGGGTGAAAGGAAGTAAGAAGACAGAAGGAAGAAAAGTATATCATTCAATTAAGAAAAGAAAATAATGTAGACTAAGGAAGAATCCATCGTCTTTTTAGCCCCAAAGACCAGGATCATCCCAAAATGGTTTAGGGCTGTCCAAGAACATTGCACGTCAAAGGAGGCCTCAAATCAGTGTCTTTCATAGGGTTTGGGGGCTGTCATGAAAGACAGGCATTTCAAAATAAGAGTTTTAATGATGTCCAGAAAAGATGATGACTGTGCATTTGGGTCCCTTCTCCCAGCAGGGCTGCTGAGGAGGACCATGAAGGAGGGTGAGGCACATCCCTGGAAGCAGGCCTAAGGCACAGGCCAGGAAGAAAAGTTAAAAAGCAAGAGCAAGAAGGAGGTAGAATAATGGAAGAGGAAGGAATGAGAAGGACCAAACAAACAGGTACATTTATTACAAATGGCAGTTGCCTGAGCTTCCAGAGGTCTCAGGGTCACCTTACTCAGCTGGTTCTCAGGGGAGAGGAGAGTTGGGATCAGAAGACAAGGCTCTACTGCTAGCTGTGCCCCAACTGCCTGAGTGACCTTGTAGAAGTCATTTTACCTTTCTGCCTCCTCCCTATTGTCAAAGGCAGGTGTACTGCTGACCTAAAAGTGCTCTGGGCTTTACCGAAGAAAGTAGCTCCAGAAATCCAAGACATCATCTGCGTATGTGCTAAGTGTCTGCACTTGTTTGTGTTTGCATGGTTCACGGAGGGAGAGAGGGTAAGAAAGAGGAGGACAGAAAGAAAGATGAGAGGACATTGTGGCCAAAGTCGCTTGGCTCTGCCTCACCCACCAGGGAACCCGGGACCGGGATCTGGCAAAGGGGACATGCCTGCAGCCCGCTGCCAGCTGGGCACCCAAGAACCGCGGACATCCTCGGGCTCTGCTGTCCCTTCAGCAAGTCCCATTGCAGCATCAGGGACGAACAGCCAGGCACGCCCCTCCCCCACTAGATGGCACTGAAACGCCTCGTTCGCGATTTTCAAAATGCAGGAAGGAGGAAAAAAGACAAAAAGAATATGGTGGAGGTGCGCTCTTTTTGGCTCGCAGGCCTGGTTGTGCAACGCAGGGTGCGGAACACTCTTTTTTTTCCCCAGGGCAGTTCTTTACCTGGCAGTGCGGGCCCTCGACTTTGGAGTGAGGGTGAAAATGAGGGGGTGAGCCTTAGAGTGAAGGACTGAGGGTTTCAACCTGGGAGGGAGGCTCCCAGCCCTTGCGGCGCCGTCTCACGTGAGCCAGGCCGTGTGTGGTGGGGGATGAAGAGGGGCTCTGTTGGTGCTCTCTCGCTCAAGGCCTGGGGTTGCGCACTACCTCCCACAGCCCTCCCAGAGCCTAAATCCAGCCGCCACACCGCACCGAGGTTTCATTTAACCCCACTCCCCCTCCTCAAAGCGAGAGCCCCCGAGTGTTTTCAGATTATCTTTTAAGCACCCGCTTCCCCCTCACGCCAGTGAAAATTCTGTTTCTCCTATCTAGAAAGGATCAATTTTCTTTTTTCTTTTCTTGCTGAGGAGGAAGGTGGAGGCCGGTGGAGGTGGGTGTGTGTCGGGTTGTCTGGCGCTCGCGTGGGGCTGGACCGGGACTGGCGGTGACAACCCCATAGACGCGCTTGGCCCCTGGTGGAAACGCCTGTAGCTAGTAAGGTAGCGCCTGTGGCTTTTTGGGTAAAACAAAGATCAAATACAGCCCAAGGTACCAGCGACTGAAACCGGGGACGCAGGGAACTTCCTAAGCCCCTATGAATGCCCACTCTAAAATAAGCAATCTTTTCTTTAAAAACTGTGGTCAATTTAAGGAAATTTTCCACTATTGAAAATACATAAACAGGAGATAGAGGCAACATCCCTAAATTTATAATAATGCATGTAAACATGCTACATACCACATATATGTATATATGTATAAATATGGATGTGGTTGGGCACATACCTATCTAGACACCATTGACTTGCCTGGTGAAAGAATAAGGCTTAGACATTTCGTGCCTGGGAAATGGTGCACTTTATCTTTAAGAATGCTAGAAAAATAAGAGATGAGGCTCACGTTGCACGGATGACATCACTAGCTTTTGGCTGCGCGCTTCGTGTTCTCGTCTGTGGGTTTTAGCCAAGGCTGCAGCGCCCGGCGCCCGAGCGAGCGAGCGCAGCAGCGGCTTCCTCCAGCGCCCGCACCCGGGCGATGCGATTTCCCGAGCCCCTCGGGCGCAGCCTGGGTTCTCGCTCCCCAGCACTGGCCGAGCCCGCGAGGCCCCCGAGCCGCTGTGTCTAGAGGAGGAGGCAGGGAGGAGACCCAACCTCCCTCCCCCACCCTCGCCCCATACACCTCGGCGACCACCGCGCAGGGAGCCTGATCGTGGAACGCTGAGACCAGGACGGGATTCTCTGCACGCTGCCGAGTGAGACGGCATCTCAGCTCCTGGGTGGGCTGCGAAGAAAATGGTGCAATCAGAGAGCCGCTGACCCCAGTTGGGCAAAGCAGACGGGGTACTAGAGTGCCGAGGCTCAGGTGGCAGAAGAAGCGGGCGGACTGTTTTGAAGGGCCGGGGCCACTGTTTTCTTCGGTGCTAGCAGCACCCGGGCAGCACCTTCCCAGGGCTACCCAGGAGCCAGATGAAGTGAGGCGGAGGCGTCGCGGGAGAAACGGGTCTTCAGGTGGCTGGGTGGACACTCCAGGAAGAAGACAGCTCTGGGGAGGGCAGCATGACGCCCCCGGGGCAGGTTGCTGGGAGGGCAGGGCGCCGTGATCGCGCGACCTGTCCATGGTGTTGAAGGCGCCGCGCGCAGAGCTCCGCGCGCCCAGCGCTGTGCGCCCTGCGGGCTGCGCCCTCCACGGCGCAGCCTGCCCCTCGCGCCCGCCAGCTGCCGCCCAATCTCCGCAAGACCCCGGCCAAGGTTCGTCCCGTAACGCCGTCCGGGTGACCGCACCGTCGGCCCGAGAGGCCGCCTGAATGGCGAAGCCAGAGGCAGACGATCCGGGAGCTCTCGGGGAAAGGTCGGCCGAGACCGTGGGCCCACTGGGAGCCAGTCTCTGAGAGCAGCGCGCTGGCCAGACGGAGCAAGGGACCTGCAGGTGAGCAAAGGACGGATATTTTTTAAAGACCCGACCCGAGGAGGAGGAACACTGCTTCTCTTGCAGACCAGAAGTGAGAGAGCCGCTGAGAGGGAGACCCAGGCGAGACTCGGGCAGCGGCCCTGGCATCTGGAGGTTTCCTTCTCTGGCTGGCCGTATCGCGGGTGTTTCAGTTCATCCTGTTGTCGAGCAGCTCCTCCTGATAACCAATCTCTCCCCACCTCCAAAAAAAAAAAAAAAAAAAAAAGCCAGGCGAGTGAGTCCCGTCGCCCCCCTGTACAAAGAGAGCCCAGGAGCCCCACCGCAGCCAAGGGCACTTGGTGTTTAAGTTTCCGGCCAGAGGGCAGCAGCGTCCGAAGCCCGGCTGCGTGAGAACGGGGCCGGTTCGGAGGACTCGCTTCCTGCCCGGCAGGGAGGAGGCGGGAGGCGGCCTTGCCCTGCTCAGCGCCGCTTGAGGCTGCACCTGCCCCGGAGGATGCCCAGGGGCTCGCCGGAGCCTCTAAGGTTCAGAACTTTTTAGGTTGCCCGCCCCCATCCCCGCAGTCCCTGGGCTGCGCGCCTGCAGGAGGGGGCTGAGGGGGCGCCACCGCGCCAGTCTCCCTCCTGTTCCCCCCTCCCCTCCTTGGCTCGGCCGCCCGCCGCTTTGTTACGGGCGCGCGGAGGGAAGGCGAGGCTGCGGCGGATCATGCCCATGGTGTAGCCGCGAAGTGGAGGCATGGCTGCTGGAAGGTTACTGCTCTACACGGGCCTCTCGCTAGCGCTCTGCGCCCTCGGCATGCTGGCCGTGGCCATCTGCTCAGACCACTGGTACGAGACGGACGCCAGGAAGCACAGGGACAGGTGCAAGGCCTTTAACACCCGCCGGGTCGACCCTGGCTTCATTTACAACAACAACAACAACTTGCCGCTTCGGGCCAGCCGTTCGCGCCTGGACCGCTGGGAGGGTAAACTCCTCCGGGCCCGGAATCGCCGGCAGCTCTTCGCCATGAGCCCCGCAGACGAGTGCAGCCGGCAGTACAACTCCACCAACATGGGCCTCTGGAGGAAGTGCCACCGGCAGGGCTTCGACCCAGAGATCGAGGCCCTGATTCGGAAAGGTAAGCGCGAGGCGTGGCGCTGCGGAGAGCCGGGAGCCTCTAGGCCCGGCCACCCTTTCCTCCCTTCGCCCGGCCGCAGTCTGTTAGGTCTTTCAGGAGGTCAGGTTGTTCAGGCTCGGCTGAGCCTTGGAGTGGCCAGATCTTGTCTCCCAATAGCTGGTAATGGAGGCTCACCTCTATCCGGCCTCCTGTTTTGCGTTTGTTTGACGGGATTCCGCTGGAATCTCGTGGTCCAGGGTTTCTGCCCAGGAAGATGCTTCAGTAGTCTCTGAAAAGGAAGGAAATCTATAATGTTGTGCTGTTAGCAGAGGAAGCCCTTTAAGAGTGATATGTAGGGTAGACAGACTCTTAGTTTTAAATCTTTGTTTTAGATGCTGAACGGGTTCAACAAGGGAAATTGGGGAAACATCTCACAGAAAAGGCCTTATTCATGCCAGAAACATTTGCTAAGTGCTATACTATACCAAGCATGGTGCAGGCATCGGTCATATAAAACATCAATATATCACAGCCCCTGCCCTACTGCAGCTCAAAGCCTGTTGACCTGTAGCATCATACCACAATTCTTGATTGTTCTTTTTGAGAAAGTGGTTTACAAAAGTATCTTTTGCACATTGAATATTAGCAAGATCTAATAAGCACCCAAAAAGTAGTTCTTCCGGTAACACTACTTCAGAGGGGAAAAAAAAATACTATTTTCAAAAGATTTGTTTAAAAATACCCCAAATCTACCAAAACAGAAAACAAACTGCATTTGCTAGTGATAAAAATTTATTTTATGCTTTAATATGATTACATACATTTTAAAAAGCCTGCTTATCTGATGTAGTTTGTAAATCTTGCATAATTAATACTTTGGGGACCATCCTATTCCATTGGCCCACAGAAGTATTGTTTGGTTGTGAATTAATATTGCTCTGAAGAAGGGAATATGCACCCCGGAATATGCATTGATGGTAGCTGCACCCTGGAAGATGTGCTGCAGTTTTATGAGTCTTGTCGTCCTCCCTACCACCTTCATTTTCTTCCACTATTATGTGGTGATATCAAGGTGAAAATAATGTTATCTGCAAAGTCTTTGAGGCCAAGATATAAAGCTATTTTTCAATATCTATAATGCAGGGTTGCTGCTCTTTTTAAATGTTGTTTGTGAGAACTGATGTTCTTTGATTTATAAAAATGTTGAAATGGCTCAAAAATTGTTAATTAAAAAAAGTCAGTTGTTTAAAAAAGGCAAACAGTGGGTATGGTCTGGGTGGCTGTTCAGATTTATGTGAGGTAGGTTCAGAAAGAGAATTCACCTTAATGTTTGTTTGGTAGCTTCTGTAGAATGACGAGATTTTAACTGATTTAGTTAAGAGTGTGTTAATATTACAAACATCACATCTGCTTCATGGTTAGACTTTTATTAGAGCAGGGTGACCCATTTGGAGCTCTATAACTTTGCCAAGCTGTGCAGGATGTTAGAGAATTCCAGAAGAGCAACTGGGGTTTGGATTTAGAAGTGAGAAAACAAGAGGAAGCAGAATAGTTTTTGACAATGGGTGACTTTGTAACAGTTTTCAGAGTCTCAGATTCATGAAGTGTTATTTTATCTGTTGGTGTCTGTTTTCATGAAAATTGGAATGGGAGGAAGTTATGAGGAAGAATTCATGTTAATAACGACTGATAAACACTGATAAGACTCACTGAAGGACATTCTTGAATTTTCTCCCTTGAAACATCTCCTGGAATAAGGCGGGTACCCTTCTGTCTGGTGTCAGTTAACCCCACTTAGAAAAAGGGGGAGGGAATTCATGGCTTCTGGTGGTTCCATTGAGAGATTTGATTTCATGTTGCTCTGCTTGGCAATCTGGCTAGAAAGGTTGACTTGGTCTACGCACCAGAGGGGATTGGTTACCATAGCGACATGTTCTTCCGGTGAAGCTGGAAACACAGTGACTAGGGAAGGGATAGTGGAAGAATGTGCAACATTTTGACTTTGTATCAGCTGATTTTTAATTGAAGCAACAGAAAATGGACACGACACAGCAGGGGGATTAAATACACTGATACCTAGAGTTGGCAGGGCATTGTATTTCACTTGAACTAATGGAACCGCTCTTCCCCATCACCCAAAATACAGCTATCATTGTCAGCTGCAAGTACCTGCTTACCATGGCTGTTTCTGTCCATTTGACATTCTTGTTAGGTATTATTGAGATAGATGGCATGCCAGCCTTACAAATCTTGAGGGACTTATGGTCACTATCTTCATTTTTAATCTCAAAACATAATCTTTGAAAGTCGGATCTTTTTCTAAGCAGTGATGGACACATTTTGGAAATAGGGACATCTTATATTAGGAGAATTCACAAGCAATTCCAATAGCATATAGAATGTAATATCCAGACTTACTGTTCTTCCTTGATGTGCTGATTTTAGAAGGAAGTTAAATAAAGAAATCAATATCCCTATATTTAAGTTTAGGACATCTTAGGGAAAGATTTATCTCATGGTATTCAGTAGTAGTCTCAAAAGTTTTCTTAGGCTTTTGTCTTTTTTTTTCCTTTTTAAAGCATCTTAGATTAAAATTCTGGAGAGATGTTTTGGGTAGGGGGGAAAGGGAAACCAGAGAAAAGACTTTAAAATCCCAATATTATGGGAAAATTAGAGATTTATCTATATGATCATATAGCCCTAGGGAACTGAATCATTTGTTAAATCAATGTTCATTATGTTAGAAAGTGCTGTTTGTGCATTTTACAATAAAACCACATAATTAATAAGAAAACAAAAGTCAAATCTATATCTGATTTGAAGATAAAGTCCTTTGGATTCATGTTTTTTCTGAAATCCGTATGCCCTGCTGACATGACTGTACCCACAAGGAGGTATTTCTGGTCACTGTGTATTTATTTGTTTGTCTTATTGAACCATAAGTTCCTGGAGGGCAGGAAGGATAATCATTTGTAAAATACATCCACCAGGTACTTGGTATTTGGGAAATACCTATACAAATTAGGTTCACAGAAATGTATCCATCAAGGGCTTATTCTAATTGTAGGAACACTGTGTGGGAATCCAAATAAAGGATTAGTCAGAAAATTGTGATTAAAAAAAAAAGAACCAGTGTGGCTCTCAGGGCAGGTTAATATTGCAACAGATGCTACATAATTGAACAAAGAAGATTCCTTGAGCAAAAGCTTTGCTAAGAAATAAGGGAAACACAATACATTTTCAGGTAATATATGTCACTGAACAGACACATATCACCCACAATCATTGTTTTTCACATTAGACAGGATTTTAATGGTTTCCTTCTTGGAGGTAGGATTTGAGTAGAGGGTGTGGCAAGGATCAGTTATCCTCGAAGTTCCACATATGTCCATAGTCAGGTCCTCTTGTCTTCTTACTTTTCAACCTCATCCATATCTCTCTAGTAAGTCACTGCAAGCACTGGGGACAGATCAATGACAGGATCGGTTTCTGAAATCCAGGAGACTCCGAGACCCTTAGGAAGAGCCGCTACAGGTAGGATTTTGTTCCAGGGAACATTTATATTCTTTGGTTACTACTGAAATACTGCATTGGTATGGCTTGAAATAAGTAGACTTTCAACTGAGACTCTAAGAATTTTTTATTATTTGAAAATAGACTTTATCATAGAATTTGATCTAAATGGTTTCCATAATCTTGGAGTGGTGGGCAATGTTCTGAAGTTTATTTTGATAACACATGGTACATATTCACAAATTAATAATGTACTCAGCAAATATTTATTACACGTGTATTGTGGGATGGGTCCATAGCCCTAGAACGAAGAGGGAGTAAGACCTGGCGCTCAGAACTTCCGTTGTCTGTTAGTGTCACAGCGGCTAAGCGACAACTACAGGGTAATGAGAGCGACAGAAACAGATGCAGAGAAACACAGAGGAGGTGATGATAGATTGTGCTGGCAGTGGGATGAGGTCACACGGGAGGCAGTTAGGGAGAGTTGCCCCGAGGAAACAAAATTTGAACAAGATTTTCATGAAGTTTGGGGCTGGAGGGGAGGAAGGGCATTTCAGGCAAAGAGGCCAGCAGAGGCATAGCCAGGGAGGTGTGAAACAGCAGTTCAGCTTTGTGAGTATCGGGGGGAGCAGAGCGGACCAGGAGAGCAGGCAAGGGCCAAGTCAAGGAGCCCGTGTGCTCAAATCCCTTTTGCCCAGAGGATGTCCGCTAGCCACGTGTGGCTATTTAACCTTAAAATAACCCAAGTTAAATAAAATTTTAAAAATCATTTCCTTAGTCACATTGGCCGCATTAGAGATGCTCAGTAGCCACATGTGGCCAATGACCATCGTTCTGGGCTGTGCCGATCAGAGAATATTTCCATCACTGCAAGACAGTTTTATTGGACTGCATGGAGCCCTACAGCCTCTAAAAAGAGCCAGCGCAGGCTTTGTCTCAGATGAAGATAACTAAACACAATAACTTGGGCTTCAATCTAAGTATATTATTCTACACTTGAAGAAACTTTGCCACTTGAATGTTTTGACAGAAGGTTTTAGTTCCTGGTCAATTATGTTAACTCTATTTTATTAATTTTCCATCTTTGGCTCACAGAATTCTCACATGCTGCTCTCGTCTCTCCTTTCCCTCACCTGACCCCATTTAAGTGATATGCAATTTTGGCTGGGTGGGAGGATTAATGGCCATCATTGCCCAGGTTGGTGCCTGGGACTCTTCTAAGAGCTTTACGTCTATTAGCTAACTTATTTTTGCTCTGAGGTGGGCATAATTATTATTTATTGTTATTCTACATTTGAGGAAACTGAGGCACACAAAGGTCCATTAACCTGCCATGGCTCATGATAAAGAAATGAAAGCGTCAGGATTTGAATATCTGGCCCCGGGTTTGGGGACTCACCCACCACATCTACTGTCACGTAGAGTCTATTGGACCAGGGATGGGTGGAGAAGAGGCTGGCATATTTGATTCCTCAAATTAAAAAAAGAAATAGGAAGTAATTTTAGAA